TGGGCAACAGAGCAAGACTATCTCAAGAAAGGAAAAAATAGGCAGAATAAGTAATACACTTCTGCCCACATAAGAGCCTTCCCTTTGACGGATGTAATGAAACTATCTTCAAGCACTTTATAAATAAATAATTTGTCTGATAGTAGCCTTCTGTTGCCTGGATCACATCTGATTCTCCTGGTAACTTGAGAAAAGGGTACCCCTCTGATATGGATAGTAGTTTGATGATGTAGAATTCAGGGAAAAGACTATGATAATGTCACTTATGGTAACTACTTTTGTGCTGTAAAACTGTCGTGGATTAAGAAGAGAGTTGGCTGGGTGCAGTGGCTCACACCTGTAATCCTAGCACTTTGGGAGGATTACTTGAGCCCAGGAGTTGAAGACCAACTTTGTCAACATAGCAAGACTCCATCTCTTAAAAAATAAAAATATTAAAAATAATAGAGTAGGGAGGCAGAGAAGGGCCTTCATCTTACGTGCTAAAGGAATAAGGAGAAGGAACGGTAATGGGTGTGGAATGTTGAGCACATGTATACAAAACATTCATGATGTAAAATAAATCCTCTGCTTGAAGCAGGGACTCCAGAAGCTGCTCACCTTAATTGTAATTGCTATTCCAGCAACCATTCCTCCTCCACCTACAGGTACCACCAGTGCATCCACCAAAGGAACCTTTAGTGAAAAGAATATAAACTGTCAATAGGCCTATTAGGAGGCAGCTTTATATTTAATGTGTACACATGAAATAACAATATAGCCCAATAGCTTTACCAGTAGCTAAGCAGGAAGAACTCGGCTATTTTACCTGGTTCAGCACTTCTAGGGCAATTGTCCCTTGTCCAGCTATCACTGCAGGCTCCTGGTTTGGATGTACCATGATGCCTTCTGTTTGCTCTGTAACTCTTTGTGCAACGTTTTCTCTGGACTGAAAGTACATTAATTTAGCTTACTTGATTTGCATTTAATAGAGTCCCCAACAAGTTCCATTTGGTCATTCAAAATTTTATTGACCATCCTACTTTTTTCAGATTTTGTTCAGGCACTAGAGATATGTTAAAATATTCCTGCCCTCAAAGGGGTTGTATTCTTATATGGTGGAGATGGGTGAAGTAACTAATGTAATATCTGAGTGCTATGGAATAAAATGAAGGAATTTATTTCATATAGGGTAGCCATGAAGAGCCTCTAGTAAAGTGACATTTTAAAAGATCTGAACAAGTGCTGTGGATATCTAGAGTATTTCACAGTGGAGGGGATAACAGTGCAAAGATTACAAAGTAGGAGTGCTTCGCCTTTCTGAGGAAAAGCCAAAAGGCTAGTATGGCTGGCACAGAGTGGACAAGAGAAATAGAAGATGAGGTCAAGGCTGGGCGTGGTGGCTCATGCCCATAATCCCAGCACTCTGGGAGGCCAAGGTGGCTGGCTCACTTTAGGTCAGGAGTTCAAGACCAGCCTGGCCAACACAGTGAAACCCTGTCTCTACTAAAACATTAGCCAGGCATGGTGGCGTGTGCCTGCAATCCCAGCTATACTGGTGGCTGAGGTATGAGAATCTCTTGAACCCAAGAGATAGAGGCTGCAGTGCACTGAGATCCGACTACTGTACTCCAGCCTGGGCCGGACAGAGCAAGACCCTGTCTCAAATAAATAAAAGAAGATGAGGTCAAAAAGTTAGGAATGTTTGAGTTCATCCAGGTCTTAGATGATCGTAAGAACTCTGGTTTCCACTGGATATGAGATGGGAAACCATTACAGAATTTTGACTTGAAAAGAGACAAGTTCTGACTTTATTTAATGGAGAGCTCTGGTTGCTCAGAAAAGCCTGTAGTGGGGCAAGGGTGGATGCAGAGAGACCAGTTAGGCTACCGAATCTAGATGAGAATTGATGCTGGTTTGAATTGGGCTGGCAATGGTAGACATAGAAGTAGTTGGGTTATGGAAATACGTTGAAAGCAGGATTAAGATTTGAATGTGGGGTGTGAGAGGGTTATCAAAGATGACTCCTGGCTGTGTGCAGTGGGTCATGCCTGTGATCCCAGGATTTTGAGAGGCCAAGGTGGGAGGATCGCTTGAGCCCAGGAGTTTGAGACCAGCCTGGGCAACAATGAGACACTATCTACCAAAAATAAAGGAATTAGTTAGGTGTGGTGGCATGCACCTATAGTCCTAGCTACTCAAGAGGCTGAAACAGGAAGATCCCACAACATAGGAAGACCTTATCTCTAACAAAAAAAGAAAACGAAAAAAAAATTCAGAAAAAAAAAACAATAAAAGTTGCCATTTACTAAGATGAGGAAGACTGGAAGAGAAGGAATATAGGGAAGTAAGATCAGGAGTTTGATTTTAGATGTAATTTGAGATGAAGAGGGGTCAGGGACAGTCACTCATGCCTGTAAATCCCAGCACTATGGGAGGCCGAGGCGGGCGGATCATGAGGTCAACAGATTGAGACCAGCCTGGCCAACGTGGTGAAACCCTGTCTCTACTAAAAACACAAAAATTAGCCGGGCATGGTGGGGCGCACCTGTAGTCCCAGCTACTCAGGAGGCTGAGGCAGGAGAATCGCTTGAACCTGGGAGGCGGAGGTTGCAGTGAGCTGACGTGGCTGCCACTGCACTCCAGCCTGGTGACGGCGAGACTCAAAAAAAAAAAAAAAGACATCAAGTGGGAAAGTTAGTTAGCTGTTGGATATAAAAGTCTGGTGTTCAGGGGAGAGAGGTTGGAGGTGATAGACCACAGGTAATCACTTAAGCAGCGAGACTGATGAGATCATCTGAGCGTAGGTAGAGAAAAGGTTGAGCATGCTAACAGAAGTGAAGAGGAAACAACACAGGAGACAGAAGGAGCAGCCCGTGAGGCAGAAAGCAGCTGGTCAAATGAAAGCTATTGAGGTGGTATCAAACACTGCTCTCCTTACCTCATCACTAGGTTCACAGTATACAATTGATGCTCCATAGGCTTGTATTGCCAGCTTTTTACAGTCTGGAGCTGTCTGGGGCACCACAATATAAGCAGGAATCCCTGGGAGGGGAAAACGTTTGGTTACTACAAGTCAGGAGAATTAAGAATAGAAACTTCAGTTTGGCCAGGTGTGATGGCTCAGATTATATAATCCTGGGACTTTGGGAGGTTGAGGCGGGTGGATTGTCTGAACCCAGGAGTTCCAGACCAGCCTGGGCAACATGATGAATTTATTATTTTGTATTTGTAAAATAGAAAAATTAGACAGGCGTGGTGGTGCACACCTGTAGTCCCAGCTACTCAGGAGGCTGAGGCAGGAGAATTGCTTGAACCCGGAAGGTGGAGGCTGCAGTGAGCTGAGATCACGCCACCACACTCCAGCCTGGGCAACAGAGCAAGACTGTCTTCAAAAAACAAAGAAACTTACATTCATAACAGCTTGCAGTCAGATAAAGATTTCTTGGGAAAGTTACTTCCTACAGCTATCATCACTTTCCCTGAAATTAAGGGTACTTTTCCACTTCTTTCTGATGATCTACCCAGTACCTTGAGACATCAAGTACCTTCCAATTTGGCAGCGTAGGTGAGAGCCTGGCCATGGTTTCCACTGCTGTGAGTAACAACAGCTTTGGGCTTCCCTTCTAAAGCATCAGGAACCAAGCTTCTGATGGCATTAAGAGCACCACGAATCTGAAAAAGAGGGATGGTGAATTCACATGTTTGATTAAAACATTTTTTTGAAAAGCAAGGAGCTTTTCTAGATTTTCTATCTTTAACATGCACATCCAATCTGTCACTAAATCTTATCGATTTACCTCCTAAATATCTCATGTGCACCTTTATTTATTTTTATTGAGACGGAGTCTCTGTCACCCAGGCTGGAGTGCAGTGGCATGATTTCTGCTCACTGCAACCTCCGCCTCCCCACCCTGGGCCAGGTTCAAGTGATTCTCCTGCCTCAGCCTGCAGGATAGCTGGGATTATAGGCATCTGCCACCATGCCTGGCTTATTTATTTATTGTTGAGATGGAATCTTGCTGTATTGCCCACGCTGGAGTGCAGTGGCACAATCTCGAATCACTGCAACCTCCGCCTCCCCACCCTGGGCCAGGTTCAAGTGATTCTCCTGCCTCAGCCTGCAGGATAGCTGGGATTATAGGCATCTGCCACCATGCCTGGCTTATTTATTTATTGTTGAGATGGAATCTTGCTGTATTGCCCACGCTGGAGTGCAGTGGCACAATCTCGAATCACTGCAACCTCCGCCTCCCCACCCTGGGCCAGGTTCAAGTGATTCTCCTGCCTCAGCCTGCAGGATAGCTGGGATTATAGGCATCTGCCACCATGCCTGGCTTATTTATTTATTGTTGAGATGGAATCTTGCTGTATTGCCCACGCTGGAGTACAATGGTGCAATCGTGGCTCACTGCAACCTCCATCTTCCAGATTCAAGCAATTCTCCTGCCTCAGCCTCCTAAGTAGCTGGGATCACAGGTGCCCACCACCATGCCCAGCTCATTTTATATTTTTAGTAGAGATGGTTTCACCATGTTGGTCAGTCTGGTCTTGAATTCCTGACCACAGGTGATTCACCTGCCTCAGCCTCCCAAAGTGCTGGGATTACAGGCGTGATAATTTTTGTATTTTTGGTAGAGATGGGGTTTCACCATGCTGGCTAGGCTGGTCTCGAACTCCTGATCTCAGGTCATCCACCTGCCTTGGCCTCCCAAAGTGCTAGGATTACAGGGTCTTTTTTTTTTTTTTTTTAATGCTCTCAGTTATTGGGTGGGGTAAAAGGTAGATTCTTGAAATCCTAAAGCTACCAGAATACCTGCGAGGCACAGTGCTAAATGCAACTTTTCAGACTTCTACCTGAAAGGATCTTAAAGCTCAACTAATGGTCAGAAAATTCTGATAAGTTAACACATAGAAGTCTATCTTTATGCACTATAAAGGTACTGACGTTTTGTAGAAAAAGATCTTATATGAGGATTTAGCTACCTTTAGATCTTTTATTTTTTATTTTTTTGAGACCGATTTCACTCTGTCACTCAGGCTGGAGTGCAGGGGAGCCATCTTGGCCCACTGCAACCTCCACTTCCTGGGTTTAAGCGATTCTCCTGCCTCAGCCTTGAGTAGCTGGGATTACAGACATGTACCACCACGCCCAGCTAATTTTTGTATTTTTAGTAGAGACATGGTTTTGCCATGTCGTGGGCTGGTCATGAACTCCTGGACTCAAGTGAACCTCCTCTTCAGCCTTGCAAAGTGCTGGGATTATAGGTATGAGACACTGTGTCCTGATTGGTTATGTAAAAACATTTTTTTTTTTTTTTTTGAGAC